ATATATATAGCCAAGTACAGCATCTTAAATGCTGTACTTGGCTTCGTAGTAGACTATATTTATACTTAATTTTAACTTCAACGATTTTATTGCTAATTTGGATATATTTTTAAATTCGATACATTTAATTAGTTGAAACTTTGCCAAAATGATAAAATTTTTAGATTAAAAATATAGTAATATTTCACTTCTCAGTATAAAATGTTAATAAAACTTCTAAAATTTTTGTATCTTCACTCAGTTTATTTTTTCTCCAAAACCAGTATTTGTTTAAAGAAAACATTCTAAGGCTCTTCACCTTAGAAAATCCAACTTTGTCATGTAGCTGTATTTGTTAGATTTTTTTTAAAATAGACTATTGTTGTACTAGTAGAAAATTGATCTGTATAAAAAAAAAAAGGTAGAAATATATTATTTTAAAATCAGATAAAAAGCGTTGATATAATATAATTTAAGCCAATTTTTTAAAAAAATTATGATAAAAATCATCATATCCTCAAAGCAAATAAATAAATATAGGCCTATGTTACCTGCTAATTTTAAAACTATTAAAAATATAAAACTAGTTTTCATCATATTAAAGTGATGTAAATAATTTCTTTTTTAAGAAACCTAACTTTATATTTTATTAAACCCGTTCTAATTCAATTAAGGTTGTAGAATGATAAAGATATCAAATTAGAAAATGGTAATTAAAAATTTTTATTATCTATAATTAAGCTATCATAAAAATTTTTTATTTATTTATTATTAGGAAAAATTGAAGTTGTATATCTTTATTAAATGCGATATCGATCGTGTCACAGAGTAACAGTCAACACTTTCAGTAAATAGCGCATTGTAATCATTTTCCCGTAACCGAGTTAAATGTTGCGCCGGTTTCCTGCGTACAAAAAGTACTGTACATTAAAATATTTAGAAGCTAGATTATATATAACAATAGAAAATTAGTACAGACCACAAACCTAAGTAAATTCTATAAAATTTTAAAAAAAAAATTGGTTATATTTAAATATAAATACTTTATTGGAGAGTAAAAGATTGAGATTTCAAAAAATCTGATGCATAACATCCATAAAAGCAGAAAAAAAAACAGTAAAAAAGTCCTTACTTGTTTAAACAAAACGTAAAAAAACAGATGATATTTTTAAATAAACCATTATTAAATTTTTAAAAAATGGAAAAAACATTTATTTATTCAGTTTGCGTTATGTTTACAAGCAAACCTGTTTATATCATGTAAAATTTAGGAATAAAAAAAATAGGTAAACAAATAATCTACTGTAAATAAATCTATCAACAAAAAATTCGGAAGACGACGATTTTCTGTTTTCTCCACTTTGAAAAATGGCTCTAGTTTATTTTGTATGTGAATCAGTCATATCCGATGCTTTCGTCGATATTTTAAACAAGAGGACTTTAGTAGTAAAATATTGAAAAGCATTTCCTTCGTTATTATTTTTTTAAATAATCGTAGTCTCTTATATTTAATTAGTAAGAGAGGATAGGGGAAAAAATCAATAATGGATTTATCATCGTCTGTACTAAGTACAAATTACATTCTGTAATTTAATTTTAAACTTAAAAATCATTAACACTTCTCGTTCGAGTAAAAACCAAATGGCAAATTAAACATTTTTAAATTTAATTTACAGTTAAGTGTGAAAAATACGAGAAAATGAATTACTTCCTTTGAAAATCCACGGGATATTTAAGGAAAAAGGGTTTTTTTCCCCCTTCTTCAAAGGCTATTTTTATAAGAAAATCGATACATATAGAAGGAGAAAAAAACTGAAATGTTTGAAAATGCTTTTAAGATTATAACGTATTAAGATACCAAGATATTTGAATAATGATTATCTCATAAAAAGATGGAGAAAATTTCATATTTATTAATCTATTGTAAACTTAGAATCATCTAGTTCATAAAAATGTAAAGTTATGGTTGAAGTTCGTTGAGAATTTTATGCAAAATAGTTCCCAAAGGGAGGGATGCTCTATCACACACATATATATAAAGAATATAAATGACAGGTCGATATTTAAATATGCTTTATGAATGTTATACACGCACAAAATACACAGGCGTGCACACAAATAAAACTACTATTTGTAACGGAGAATGTAGAAATTAAGATATTAATAAGCACAAAGATCATTTAAAATGGATAAAGCAACTCACTATTATGAAAGAATCGTCGTATTTATGGAAATTTTAATAAGTTACAATGAAGCAATTTTTACTATTAAAAAATTATAATAAAGTAAACACTTAATATCGAAATTACACCCCTAATAAAGTATGATTATTCATACTCAAATTCAATATCATAAGAAATGATTTAAGTGTAAAAAAATTTAAATATTAAAATATAGAGAATATAACGCATTTTAAACACTGAAAATAAATAACGTTCAGTCAGACCAATACTGAAAAATTATATTTCTAAATAATATAGAATTTCGATATTTAGCCAATATTGATTCAATACTGTTGGGTTTTCAAACAAATATTGAAAAAAACATTTCATAAAATTTTATTAATAAAATTCCTCATTGTAATTCTTATAAGATATATGCTACAAGTGCAATATCTTACTGAATTTATTAGGATATTAATTTTAGTATTATTCAGTTTAAAAATTATCAACGTTTTATTAAATATTGATTTAAAATAATTACCTTGCATTTAGGACATCTTTGGGCGTTTAATTGACCTTGATTCATTTCTTTAGCCCAGCATTTAAGAAGGCGATCGCCTTTTTGGAATTGCTTGCAAGTCATTTCTGCATGCCAAGGGGCATGGCATTCGAAGCACCACTCCAGCTGACAGGCACGACATTGGATTCTGAGAAAATATTGATTTTTATCAATATATAAAATTTTCGAATCATTTTCAAATTATACATATCTTCATAATTATGGAGTAGATACATTATTTGGATTGATTTTAATCATCTACAATATATAAAACCATAATTTGAGAAAGATTTATAAAAATAAATTTTAATGCTTATATAAAAAGAACCTAGAATTTGGATGAACCTGATAATTGAGTAGACTATAATGTTCAATAGAGTCACTAATTCGGAGAGTATAAAAATCTATCATTAATTTCTCTTCCATTTTGAAATTATACTCCAATCTATGCAAAATTATAGAAGAAATAATAATATATAAAAAAGGGGAGAGATTTTTTTTATATTATGATATTTTGATTATTCTTTTTGACATTTCGAATATTCCTAAAAACTAAAAAATTACTTACTGTACATTTAAAAAAATTCAATTAAAATATTTGTATGTGTGAAACTTCAATTAGATTTCATTCCAAAATATCTACTTGTTTAACTCACCACTGTTTCATAATTTACACCCTTAAATTCTTTATGTACCAATCTTTTTTACTGTTTTTACAGCGATCAAGTCAATTAAAACCTTGAATTTTAATAATTTCTAAAAAATAATAATTAAAATTCAAGGTTGTAATAATAATAATAATTAAAAAATTATTGATTAAATTAAACTTTAATATCTATTTAATAGTCTGAGAGTTTAAAATAATTTAAAAAACTTATATATTTTTTTATAAACATTTTCTTTACATTTCGATGAAATCTAACGGCGACTTGATCACTGTAAAAACAATAAAAAAAATGGATACATTAAGAATTTAAGGGTGTAAATTATGAAACAGCGGTGAGTCAAACAAGTAGATATTTTGGGAGTAAGAATATATCGTGTAACGTCATCGACTCTAATGGCAATGTCGGAATTTAAAGCAGAATTATTAAAATTTACAGCTTAAATTAATATTTACGAGGGCATTAATTCTGGTCCGTAACGAGTTTCATAAACGTGACACGTCGAAAAGCAATTTTTATATCAGAATCGTAAAGTGGGAATACTTTAATTGAATTTCTTTACGGTTCCAGGTTCGTAAATTCGGAGTTGATCCATTTCATTTACTGAAATATTCATTAATCTACTTAATGTAAATTTCCAAAGGAGACAGCTGATTATTTACTGTTAACAAGTGGTTAAACTCTCTCCCCTAAATATAGAAGTAAGTAATTTGAATATCTCAATTTAATTATCTTCCAGTAGAAATAATAATTGATAAATTACTGATATTTTAATTGGCATTAATAAAAAACATTCTTGCTTGACGTAACGCTATTTGACCTTTCGTGCTGTCATGACGATAAGTGCATATAATCTCGTGAAATTCGCTTTCATCTCGTTTTATTCTATAGTTCCACAATTTGGTTGTCATAGGAACCTTAATGTCATAGCTTCAAAACAGGACAGAATAGGTGAGAAAAGAATTCTCTTGGGAACTATGCACTTAAATAAGACAAAAATAGACATAGGAGTCCACGGATTGACAACACGTTTTATCTTCTCTAATATTTTAATACATAGCAACTGTAGCGTTAACGTGAAAGTCGAGTGTCTATATGTTTTCTAATGAATAAATATATTACTTTTAAATATTATAAAAATACAAATTAGAAAGGAAATGCACTTAATACGTTTTAGGAAGTACAGGAAGAGTCGAGATGTTAAAAATTGATTAAAAAAACAAGGGAATAAAATTCAATTTTCAACCTCTTTTCCGTAGATAATTCTAATGATAATTTCGAGAATTTAATTAAACGATCTTCAAATTTTGTAGATTATATTCATTTCATTAAAGTTCGTATTCTTTACATTGAATGCAGCGTTGAATAAATCTATACATTTTCTTCCAACAGAATAAATTTTATTACAAGAGACACTGATATTTATCTCTATTACATGCTAATAAAAGGGAGAAAATGGACTAAATTGTCCAGTTCTTTCCAAAATGCTGATAAAAGAGTATCGTCGAGTGCAAAGCTGTCATTAAAATGAGATCAACTTAAAGCTACGAACGAAAAGTACATGATTTATATAATTCGATCTACAGAAATTCTAGTTCTGCCACCCATCCTTTCAGCATCGTTAGATAAAACTTTGAAGGGAATAATACACTGAAATATTGACAACTTGATAATCACTTTCGACCTTATTTCTAAATTCCAAACAATTTCTTTACATTATAATTAGTTGTCAACAATTACATAACATCAGAAATAAGAAATTTTACTATCATTTTCATTAATTACTTCTAATGCGTAGATCATTTAAATATAACTTCAGTAATGAAGTTCGTTAAACTGGAAAATTAGAATAGATGACTTTGCATGATATTTCTGTTCTAATAATGCTGAAAGTACAATTTATTAACTTAAATATTTATATAATATCAATAGCATAAAATTTCCCTAGTGATGTGTAATATATGATTATATAATATCTAAAATATTTTATAATTAATGAGAATATACCTACATATTCAGGACTATTTTTCTAAGTTTAATAGATAAATATATTTATTTCTGAGTACTGTATCATTAAATTTATTAAAATTATTCCAATTTATCCTTATAAACAATTTTATATTCGTTTCTCTGTGTTTACAGGATGAAACAAACACTAACCATATGTATATAAATACATACTAATTATATATTATGTCAATAAACATTTGAATAGTAACATATTCAAAATAGAAATTAACTTACAATAATAAATTTAGAAAAAAATTCTGCATTACGTACTATTTTTATATCTTAAAACTATATTAAAATAAATTATAATTATATATATATAGTTGCTATTCTAATTATAATGAATTATAATTAAAATAGTTTCTGTTGAGCATGTAATTAAATAGATGGAATAATAAATTTTCGAGGAGGAGAGGGAAAAAAATCTAAAAACACAAAATTAATTTTAAAAAACACAACGAGAAGTTGTTTTATATTTTAAATTTGGTCATTATAATTTTTCTAATTATTCAGGAAAATTTTAAACGATTGTAGGAAACTTCCGTAGTATTTTAATAGTCCCACGTAACAAATTATCTACTAGATGACCAATTTCTAATCTTCTAATTTCTAATCTTCTAATAAAGTACTAACATTAACTGCTATACATTAATGTATTTACTTCTCAAAGTGTAATTACAAATAATGAATATTTCAACAGTTACTTGCAAAATTTGACAGTTTTATTTATAACAGTAAATGAAACCCGGAAAATTATTATAAGAATTTAATTATTAATTAAAAATTTTCCCTAAAAATCATCATAAAAATCAACTTAAAAATTCCTTTCAGTTTATTACATAATTTAAAGTCTATGAATATTAAAGTTTAATCTTAAGAGAGAGAAAAAAATAGAAACTGATAATTATAAATGTATCTGCCACTATCGAAAAAAAAAAAAAATTCATATGGATAGGATGTAATTCAACCATATCAAAAATCAAGATATTGATTTTTAGTTATTAATAGTATCAACGTATTTTAATGAAGATAAATTTATTAANTATTGAAAAGCATTTCCTTCGTTATTATTTTTTTAAATAATCGTAGTCTCTTATATTTAATTAGTAAGAGAGGATAGGGGAAAAAATCAATAATGGATTTATCATCGTCTGTACTAAGTACAAATTACATTCTGTAATTTAATTTTAAACTTAAAAATCATTAACACTTCTCGTTCGAGTAAAAACCAAATGGCAAATTAAACATTTTTAAATTTAATTTACAGTTAAGTGTGAAAAATACGAGAAAATGAATTACTTCCTTTGAAAATCCACGGGATATTTAAGGAAAAAGGGTTTTTTTTTTTCTTTCTTCAAAAAGGCTATTTTTATAAGAAAATCGATACATATAGAAGGAGAAAAAAACTGAAATGTTTGAAAATGCTTTTAAGATTATAACGTATTAAGATACCAAGATATTTGAATAATGATTATCTCATAAAAAGATGGAGAAAATTTCATATTTATTAATCTATTGTAAACTTAGAATCATCTAGTTCATAAAAATGTAAAGTTATGGTTGAAGTTCGTTGAGAATTTTATGCAAAATAGTTCCCAAAGGGAGGGATGCTCTATCACACACATATATATATAAAGAATATAAATGACAGGTCGATATTTAAATATGCTTTATGAATGTTATACACGCACAAAATACACAGGCGTGCACACAAATAAAACTACTATTTGTAACGGAGAATGTAGAAATTAAGATATTAATAAGCACAAAGATCATTTAAAATGGATAAAGCAACTCACTATTATGAAAGAATCGTCGTATTTATGGAAATTTTAATAAGTTACAATGAAGCAATTTTTACTATTAAAAAATTATAATAAAGTAAACACTTAATATCGAAATTACACCCCTAATAAAGTATGATTATTCATACTCAAATTCAATATCATAAGAAATGATTTAAGTGTAAAAAAATTTAAATATTAAAATATAGAGAATATAACGCATTTTAAACACTGAAAATAAATAACGTTCAGTCAGACCAATACTGAAAAATTATATTTCTAAATAATATAGAATTTCGATATTTAGCCAATATTGATTCAATACTGTTGGGTTTTCAAACAAATATTGAAAAAAACATTTCATAAAATTTTATTAATAAAATTCCTCATTGTAATTCTTATAAGATATATGCTACAAGTGCAATATCTTACTGAATTTATTAGGATATTAATTTTAGTATTATTCAGTTTAAAAATTATCAACGTTTTATTAAATATTGATTTAAAATAATTACCTTGCATTTAGGACATCTTTGGGCGTTTAATTGACCTTGATTCATTTCTTTAGCCCAGCATTTAAGAAGGCGATCGCCTTTTTGGAATTGCTTGCAAGTCATTTCTGCATGCCAAGGGGCATGGCATTCGAAGCACCACTCCAGCTGACAGGCACGACATTGGATTCTGAGAAAATATTGATTTTTATCAATATATAAAATTTTCGAATCATTTTCAAATTATACATATCTTCATAATTATGGAGTAGATACATTATTTGGATTGATTTTAATCATCTACAATATATAAAACCATAATTTGAGAAAGATTTATAAAAATAAATTTTAATGCTTATATAAAAAGAACCTAGAATTTGGATGAACCTGATAATTGAGTAGACTATAATGTTCAATAGAGTCACTAATTCGGAGAGTATAAAAATCTATCATTAATTTCTCTTCCATTTTGAAATTATACTCCAATCTATGCAAAATTATAGAAGAAATAATAATATATAAAAAAGGGGAGAGATTTTTTTTATATTATGATATTTTGATTATTCTTTTTGACATTTCGAATATTCCTAAAAACTAAAAAATTACTTACTGTACATTTAAAAAAATTCAATTAAAATATTTGTATGTGTGAAACTTCAATTAGATTTCATTCCAAAATATCTACTTGTTTAACTCACCACTGTTTCATAATTTACACCCTTAAATTCTTTATGTACCAATCTTTTTTACTGTTTTTACAGCGATCAAGTCAATTAAAACCTTGAATTTTAATAATTTCTAAAAAATAATAATTAAAATTCAAGGTTGTAATAATAATAATAATTAAAAAATTATTGATTAAATTAAACTTTAATATCTATTTAATAGTCTGAGAGTTTAAAATAATTTAAAAAACTTATATATTTTTTTATAAACATTTTCTTTACATTTCGATGAAATCTAACGGCGACTTGATCACTGTAAAAACAATAAAAAAAATGGATACATTAAGAATTTAAGGGTGTAAATTATGAAACAGCGGTGAGTCAAACAAGTAGATATTTTGGGAGTAAGAATATATCGTGTAACGTCATCGACTCTAATGGCAATGTCGGAATTTAAAGCAGAATTATTAAAATTTACAGCTTAAATTAATATTTACGAGGGCATTAATTCTGGTCCGTAACGAGTTTCATAAACGTGACACGTCGAAAAGCAATTTTTATATCAGAATCGTAAAGTGGGAATACTTTAATTGAATTTCTTTACGGTTCCAGGTTCGTAAATTCGGAGTTGATCCATTTCATTAGCTGAAATATTNATTGAAATTCCACAGGCATAAACATTTTATGGGACAACAATTTAAAAGAACGATAATATAGAACTTAACAAAATAGAAAAATTAAATCTTAATTATACTGAAAATAAAAGTATGAAAAAAGAAGAATAGAAAGAGAGGACAAACATTTTTTTGGTAGAGATTAGCTTTTATAACTGAATTGATTCTTATTACAGAAATTGCATTTAGCCCTAAGTATAATTCAATTAATTAAAATATCTATAACCGTAAAACAGATAAATAGTAAGGGCTTATCACACCAATGATAATGGTCACAAATGCTCAAGAATCAAAGTAAAAACATTTAATAAAACAAAAAGGGGTGCACAATAAGATAATTACATAAGTATAAAAACTGTAAAAATCCAAAATTCATTTCAGACTATTTTCCAATAGAAAGATAGTCCCTCGTCAGTTGGTATTAACGAGAGGTCTTAGTATACTTAAAAATTATACAAAGTGAAAAAAAATTAAATTTAAAATTAAACTTAAAACTATGCCTAAAGCTATACAATATAAAGATGAAAACATTGCCATGACTGTAAAGGATGAAATACATAAAATTAACAATGACATCTGCTGCATCATATGTTGTCACCACTTGTGCTCCAGATGTGTAAGGTAACACACCTCTTTTGTAACCGCTCCCTGCATCTTGTAGAAATGTCTGAACCTGCAACTCTGTTGTCCTACTGTTTTTTATATATATATATAATTTAAACTGTATAACATTAGTTCATAACTGTTAACCAATATTTTGGCTAACTCATAACTATTTTTGTATCAGCATCCTGTTTGTCACATTACCATGCAACATTAGGAAGAAATATTACTCCTGTCTACATTGATAATGCTTACTGCTCATACAGTCGTGGCAATGTTTTCATCTTTATATTGTATAGCTTTAGGCATAGTTTAAGTTTAATTTTAAATTTAATTTTTTTTCACCTTGTGTAATTTTTAAGTATACTAAGACTTCTCGTTAATACCAACTGATGAGGGACTATGTTTCTATTGGAAAATAGTCCAAAATGCATTTTCGATTTTTATGGTTTTTATACTTATGTAATCATCTTATTGTACACCCCTTTTTGTTTTATTAAATGTTTTTACTTTGATTCTTGAGCGTTTGTGACCATTATCATTGGTGTGATAAGCCTTTACTATTATCTGTCTTACAGTTACAGATATTTTAATTAATTGAATTGATTCTATTTGATTTCTTGCTTTTTAAAGATTTACGGGGACAATATTGAAAATTGTAGTATTTGAAGATAAAAATAGTTTTATTTTAAGAAGTTAGTAANTAAGTAAGGGTCCAATCTTTATTTATTTCGAAATTATAAGTAGAAAACCAAAACAGCAACGAGCAGTTACCTTCATTTATATACATAAAATGAGAAAAACGCTTCACGACTCTTCACCCGGCATTAAAAAGGCCTAATCGTGTCAATTATAGATTTGCCCAGGCCCATAATGGGGGTAGAGGGAAAGGACCTTACATGTCCGTCAAATGATAAACAATGGAATGAAGAATCAAAATGGTTAAGTGGAAAGAAAAAAAACCTATCATACAACTAATAGAAACGACTAATACCTGCATCCAGGTGACGTCAATGGTATATAGATAGCTTAGATATAAAAAAAAATAATATATTCTTATACAATCTAAAAATAAAATTTAATATATTACTTCAAGGATATTATTTTATTATTTATCAATTTTATATTCATATCAAAAGTAGTTTGAAAGTAAACAATATCTTTGGTTGAAAACTGGTTTTTCATTGTTTTATCTGCCCGGAAAAAATTTAAACCACTGTACCAAAATTTTTTTTTTCAAGATATAGTTAAATAAAAAAAACTTTATATCATTTTCTAGTGTTTAATAAGCAAGCTGTTTAATTAATGGCAATATCAAAATTTTATAAACGTGCATTTGTAGGTGTTTAGAGTATAGAATAATTTAATATTTATGGAAAAAAGTCTATTATATGATAAGCGTGAAAGTAAAATATTTGTTCTAATTACTATTTCCATAGAAAAACGCTTACACAGAAATCAATATATATTAATTCTTTTAATATATAAGGAGGCCCGGAAGTAGGTTAAAGTATTTCTCGGTTAACCGATTTTTGGGCTACCCCACATACATTTATTAAACTGTATTTAAAAACAGTGATGAGAATAATTTCAAATCGAATCAACAGAAAAATATTTAATAGTATATTACACAAGAACGCAATGGTGTAGATTTGATGAAGTAAGATATATAGTATATACATACCATTGCGCTCTTGTGTAATGATTTAAGATTTATGGAAGACAAATTTACATGATGAAAAGATATAGTTTATTCGATACATTAGCTTTTCATTAAGTAATAAAATAAAAATTAACTGCTAGAAATGATATACCGTATACATCAATACATAAAGACAAGCTACTTCAAATACAACGCTAAAATCTTTTACTCCAATGAGTGAAATATATATTTCTATTGTTTGAATAACTTAACATCCTCCACGAAAAAATTTTAAATATGATAATTTCAATATTCAACTAGAAAAGTAGAAGTGCTTTGTTTAAAATTAGTATTTTTTTTAGAAGTAATTAAGCATAGCCATATACAGTATCTCTTCCTAAAGACGAGAATTCCAAAGTCGTTATTAATTTTAAAAAATTCGTTGTATCTAATATGTTTTTTGTGAAATTTTCGCGTTACTATTATATAAAAAGGAATTCATTTTGTAGAGTAAAGCAACAACGTTCTCGCAACTAAATAAATTCGATTTTTATACGTTTTGGGCTGTATCCTTTCTAATAAAATAAATATAAACGAGTCAATATCAATTTCTATTCAATTTATTTCTTTCGAAACTTTAAAGAGCCGACAACGAATACGATCTACGGAAATAAATTATAGCCAGCCAGCAACATAATCTGACTGCCAATACTGTATATATAATTTATAAACTAAATTTTCGAAAATTAAATGAAAATTTTAAGTAGAAAAAACGAATAACAGTACTAGCAATTATTTATTGTGACATCATCATAATGCCGGACTGCAATTCTTAATCGTATTTTTAATTTATTTAATTTAATATATATGCTCTCCACCAAATTAGTACCGGCTTGCCCCTGTACTGTACATCACACTTTTCCTTTAACAATAGTCGTGCCGGTTATCTATATAGCACCTCCAGGAGAAAATTTGTGAATTGAAATAATATAACTTTCGGTTTTCATATGAAGTTCGTATATTGTTAATTGTGGCCTCCTATCCCTAAGGTTTCCATATCTGGTTTCGTGTTTCATCTAACTCCGTTCTCGAGATTAAGGAACGGTGGACAATAGTTAAAATTTATAGGTCTACAATTTTTTCAAATTGTATCGTATACATTTTACTATATTTTGATGTAATTTTAAAAGATATTGCCAATTATCTTTAACATTATCTTTAACATTAAAGATTTTTAATAGTATAAAATCAGCAACTTAATTTTTATTTTTAGAAAACTTAAAATAAAAAAAGACTTAAAAATCAAACAAAAAATTCTATTAAAAATGACAGAACTTATGACTAAACAAGAAAATAATTCACTCGCATAAAAATGGAACGATATTAATGTCATACCATAATTAAATGAAGTCGATATTAAAATAGTTCGAACGTTTCATAACGAGTTTGCCTCTGACATACATCAGACTCATTTAGCTACCATTACATTATCTCCATAACATTCTTCATTTTTAACTGCATTGAAGCAGGGCATTGTGTAAACAATACTTCAACCACTTTATATAATACTAAAAAAATTTTTTTTCTGTATTGTTAATTTAAGAAA